GGAAATCTGGTTCACTGGATACACAACTTGTTCTTATAATCCTGATATATGAGTCACGCATCTTAAAAATTCAGTATTGTTGGTGTTAATGGATATTAATATTTCAGTAAACATACAGATTTTATGTTGGAGTATCTGAGATGATACCATTGTGTAACCCTAGACCCATGAGAACTGCCTGTTTTACACCTCATTGAACTATTGCATATCTAGATTACAGTCTGGAACTGAATGCATTTTCAAAGCACTGAATCAAAGCTGGGTGATGAATTTCCCACTCCAACATAATCTCTTTCCACTATCCCATCTCATCTGTTTAACAGGACAAAGGAGAAATTTACTATCTACGCACATCATTATTTTTCTGTGTACAATTTTATGTATGTCTGAGTGGGAAAAAATAAAAACGAAGCACATACCTGAAGTTTTAACGGATCACACAAATTTGGAGCAGTTTGACAAGATGAACATGATAGGGATTTGGCACACAGTAGGCACCTCACTAATGAGTGCACATATACGTGTAGAGTTTTAGAGTATCCAGTGAGAGTAAAGGTTTAGAAAATATGCTAACTGACCATATTTCAAAAAGGCTAACCTTTATATAGTTCTAATAAACTGCTTCAGACTGTTTAGGAGAAAATAATAAACTACTGTCTTAGTTAGGGCTTCTCTTGCTATGACCTGACCATGACCATGGCAATGCTTTTAAAGGAAATCATTTCACTGAAATGGCAGCTTACTGTTCAGAGGTCCAGTCCATTATCATCATGGTGGGGAGCAGGGCAGCAGGGAGCACGGTGGCATGTAGGCAGACATGGAACTGGCTACGTCTTTATCATTTGGCAACAGGAAGTGAACTGACTCACTGGACATGGCTTTAGCACATATGAGATCACAAAACCCACCCCCACAGTGACACATTTCCTCCAACAAGGCCACACCTACTTCAACAAGGCCACAACTCTTAGTAGTGTCATTCCCTTTGAGGGTCATTTGCTTTCAGACCACAACTATACCACTCAAATTGGTCTTGGACTTAAAAGTAAGTTTAGAAACCTATCCTAAGTCCTTGTTTTCATTGTTAGTTAGGAAACAGTCAGTGCTTCCTTTTCAAATGAGGCCTCAGCTACACAATACTGAACGTCCTAGAGATACTTGAGTTTCTAGAAAACGAGAAGATTTTGAAAAGTCTATCTGAGAGATAGTACTGGCCTCTGCCCAGTAATGGCCCAGGGCTAGTCTGTGTCCTAGCCAATGGCATTTCTGTTGTTTGCCTTGTGTTCCTCCACACCCAAGTGCTAAGCCCTAATGCACACTAGAGGATTTAATCGAATGCAGTGGGTGACATACCTCAGGACACGGCGGTCACAGTCAAACCAAAATGTTTTGCAAGCTTCTCTTTATTAGATCAATACTCTTTTTGGGAAAAAATAGGTCTATTACAATATCTTTGGGTTATTTTACATATATATGTGTGTATATTTATATATATGTATATGTATATTTAGCTTATAAGTATGTCTTAAAAATATCCTTTTCCCTGAAATACAAACTTATAAAAATTTTCCAAAATACTATATTTGGAAAAAGTCAGGCAATGTGTAATAAATGACTTAAAAGCTAGAGATACAGCTCACCTTCCAAGTGCTCATCTTAGTATGTGCACACTCTCGAATAAGAGATAGTTTTCACCAAAACAAAAACCAGCCAGAATTTTAGTCTTTGACTTTTAGTTTCTAGAGCTGTGATAAAACAAATTTCTGTTGCTTCTGCCCCTGAGTCGAGGCAGCTTGAGATAATACAATCTGCTTATTAAACAGAAGTAAAAAATATGCTCAGCATTGGCAATACCACACAACTTCATGAAACACTATCAAGACTGCATTAGGCGAGCATAACTTTGAAAACTCTACACAAGCCTGCCCTCTTGGGTAATCTACGGAAGCCTGTATGCCACATAATTTCTCAAGCTCCTCCGTAAATGGCTTCACTGTTGCCAGTGAAACAAAATTTAAGCAACACTGAGTTGTGATTTGAAGGCTGGAGATGATGTCATGCAAGAAGAACACTCAGAGAAAAAATATAAAAATCCCGAAGGATGAGAAAGGATATACCCAAGTACAAAGAACAGCGTCTGTAAGAACAGCGTGCTGAGAGACGGTGGGCGCTACAAACCATGCTGGTGTGGAAGTGGTGTGGAAAGAGCAACACACTCTTTCCTGCTCAGAGTTTATTGGAACAAGAAATGTAGGGAGGGGAGCCAAGAGGAGAGAACGGAGCATCAGAGACATCTCTGGGCTGCTGCATTAGAGCAAGGCAAGTGGCTGAAAGGAAGCCCTTCATGCAGGATCTGACATACAGTAGGCACTCAATAACTGCTTGCCAAATCAGAATTGCCCCACTCAGATTTGCTTTAAGGAAATCTACGAGACTTGCTCTCTTTTCCACCTCTTCCCTCAGTTCATCGTTTTTAAGAAACATGAAGCAGTCTCAGAGGGGTCACTGTAGTTAGAACCCAATTACAGGTCTAATCAGATAAGAGGAGAATGAGCTACAATTAAAGACGCATATGACATAAGGACAATTCAAAACAGGCACACCGGAGTGGACAGAACTCTGTGTGAAAGTGCCTGAGTTGATGGCAAATGGATTGTGTATTAACCAGACAGAGTCAAGGACTCAGCTACACCACCAAAGATAAAGTTTGACAAAACAGTGAGAAGCCTTCTCAACGGCCTTGTTCATTATATCTCTAGAGCACACAATTCCCACTCTTTAAACTGTGGGGAAGGCAAGCGAGAGGACTCAATGGGCAAAGGAGCTTGCTGTTAAGCTTGCCAACCTGTGTTTGGTTCCCATAAACGACACGTTAGAGTCTGACTTCCATGTGTGTACGGTGACACTCAGGAGTATATGTGTGCGTGTGTGCATACACACACATGCGTGCTCACACACACACGCACACAAATAAATAAATGTAAAAAAAAATTTGAAGAGGGTAAATATTAAAATGGCAAAGAACTATATACCTGGCCATCAGCTGGATTCTAAAAAGGACAGAAACTGAGTGCCTGATCTTCAGCCAGAAAGTCATGGGCTATGTATGCATCTTGAATTCTAGGCAGTTTTAACATAATGAAGGAAATAATTTTATATTGTTTAAGGTAAATATCTGCTCATGTGTGTGCTGAAGACCTGCTCCTCCAAAAAAAGAAAAATAAAATTATTTTTAAATGTCCTTAAATGCAGACGTCTATGCCCAATCCTTGTGCATTGTATCTAAAAAGGTCCCATCTGGTACTTTCAACCCTGCAACTGGAAGCTGATTCTACAGCTAAACTCTGTCTATTCCTAGACCAGGACTACACTCACTGAACTCTACAGATTTGGTAATAAAAGGTCAATGAGTTAATTATTCTTAGACAGTTTATAGCCATTATTTTAAGATGAACAAAAATTACATAAAATTCACACACATTTGCCTTAAAATGTATTCAAACTCACATATCCATTAATGATATGGCGACTTTTAAAAATCTCTTATTGATACATGTGTCTAAAAGTAATTTTACTAAACCACAGACTTCGCAAGGTTATAGCCAGTGACAAAACTATGGCAGGCATGCTCACTTACAATCATGTTCAATCCAGAACAAAACTTTTGGTATTTCAGAATGTGAATCAGGGCAGTTTTCATTATGGAATTTTGAATAAATTTTACAAGGGGACATATATAAGGCAAAAGGACAAAAGGCTGAAATTACATCCTGCAGGCACTGTATATTCATTTCTATTTAAAAGCTAAGCAGATATTCTATTAATGATCATAAATATTAAGGGAACATACCCAAATAAATCCTGTTTATCTGATTTCCATCCAGCTGAAATACTGTAGAGGGAGATTACCCTTACATCCACAGCTGGTGACCTAGGCAGAAGTCACCTACAAGATTTTCTGCTAAAGACCAGATTTTCCATAAATTATGATGTTATGGTTTAGTCACAACAGTTTTCAGGCTATAAACATAAGCCAGACTTGATAGCGTAAGTCTGTAATCCCAGCATCCACTCGGGAGGCTGAATCAGGAGGAGCCAGAGTTCTAGGCTGACCTGATCGATAACAAACTCTATCTCAAGCCATGAGAATGAAAATAAAAGCACAAATAAATATAAAGTATTTCTGTACACACCAACACACATACAGTGCACTGGTGCAAAATGATAAACGAACTGATTAGAACTGCAGATCAGCTAATATTATTGAAATAAAATTAAGGTAGCTATTGTGATTAACGACCTCAAGTGTTGGATGTTGCCTGATGGGTTCTAGGCAATGCACAGCTAAAACTAGTGACTAATTTTATAATCACTCCGTGCTCTTGTTTTAATATATAAATTATTCATCAAATCAATTGAAATATTAAAGAATCATCACAGATTTCAATGGTGACTGCTGGGCACACTTCCAAGAAGCATGTAGAATAAAAATGGTCTCCTTTGAGTAAGAAGAGAAACTACATAAAAGGAGGATAGAGGTAAATGAAAACATGAAGCTAAAGTTTAACCAAATTGACCTATAGCTACAAAATGGAGACAACATATGCTTTACCCCAATCCTTCCAGACAAGCCTGACTCACAAAAGATCACATACTATGTACACGTCTCACGAGTAGCTTGTGGGCTCATGCCACACGCTCTTTAAGACGGTCAGATCCAATGTACTGAGTGATAGCTCAGAAACCACAACCTCTTCCGGTCATCTTTTTAAGCTGATGTGCTGCCTCGGTCATTCTTCAGTTGGTATCCCTTTTGTCATGCTATTCCTTTAAGTAACACATTGCTTTATCAAGTAATGAGATCCAAAGAGAGTTGATTCTTAAAAATCACCTTGAAGGCATGCTCCCACGAATGGGACATCCTCGTGGCCACGTGTGTAATTAATCTCTTCTTTATAGACCTGAACGCACATGTGTGCTGACTCAAGAGACATTCTTACCTCCCATCCATAGCTGGAATCTTTCAGGTCCGACCTCTGCTCTCCCATGTATGGCCCGAACTTTTCGCCTATTTCAATCTTCCTCTTGGTCCATATTCCAAGTCCTGCTCCCGGCATATTTGACTCTCGAAGTTCAAACTCATCAGGAATGGGGATGTCATCGGGGATGTAGATGGGGGCTTTGTAAGGAGAGCCCTCCTTGGGAGTGAATGACCCACTGGATGTGGCAGGAGAGCATGGCTCTTGGATGTGGAGGGAGGGAACGTTGGCTACCCCATCTGCATCAGCATCGGGCATTTCTTCCAAAGGTATTTCAGAGTAATTGCCATAAGCACACTCATTACCTACAAATAAATAAGAATTTCATGAATTTCTACTAATAAACCAGGACAAATTCCACAGGGGTATGAACCATAGTAAAGTTGGTCGTTACAATCTGAACATAGAAGACCATTGCTAAGTTCTGTCCCGTTTAAAAAAAAAAATCTCTGTTATTCACAGGGGAGGAATGATAGATTATGGCTTCTGGTTTATCTGGGATAAAGTAATAAAGCAAGTGTGTTAATACTTGGATAGGCCAGCCCCACCCATCACCCACATGCAGAGCACCCAGGAGCTTATTTATCAGTCTGAATAAAGTATAGATAAGAAGTAATACAGACAACTACTGTCCCCACACCACCCTATTTATGCACCAGATCAGAAAACTGCATCAATAAATCCATGGAAGCTTCAAATTAACACAGCAGATCCTCACGGACTCCAAAGGCTGCCACGTGTCACAAGGCTCAAATCTGTGCAGCCCTTGGTATTTCTTTGCTTCAGTAGCTTACGCTGCAGAAACTCAAAAGTACTAAAAGCTAAAATCATTTTCAAAATTAGGTAGATTTGGGGGCTACACAGCTTGCTCGATGGCTAAGAGTACTTACTGCTCTTGCAGAGGACTGGGGGGGGGGTCCCAGCATGCATGCGGTAATCAGTTATAATCATTTGTAACTATAGTTCCAGGAAATCTGACACCCTCTTCTAGGCTCCATCAGGCAAGCACTTGGTGCACTGGCAACCATTCACATGCATAAGACAAAAATAAAAATCCTCAGAGGCAAACAGATAGGAGAGTACCCTGGGTATACCCAAAAGAGGAAAAAAAAATCTCCAGACTAGAAAGTGAGAGGGTTTCAACTGCCTCTACATAGAGAAGAATCCTGAAGAGGCTGCAAGAATTCGGAAGAGACAAAGGTTAGCCTTGACCACAGAGGCTTTAGAGACACAAGAGCACAACGCTGCTGCCATCATGAAATATATATGGGGACTCTGGGGGCTAGGCAGAGGAGTGAAAAGAATAATGGCCACGCTGAATTTCCTACCAGCTGAAGGGAACTTCTGTGGCCCTTAAGCAAACAGGCACGTGTTTCTTTCTACTAGGGTTATGAACTGAAAGTTGTCTCTCATTGGTTTGACTCATAAGGGCTTCAAGGACAGAAGTAAGAAAAAGGAGCTAAAGAATACAGGTGCTGATTCTGGTAAGAAGCACCAGAATGTAGGCTGGGTGGCTTGTGATTCCTGTCACCGCCTTTCTAGCACAGCCTGTGTAATCCTGAGCTACTCATGACATGGAAGAGCTCCAGTCTCAGATGAGTGACTTTTACACTCCTACCACCCCTGCAGCTGTGTTATCAACGCCTTCTAAGATGGGTTATTGGGCTAAGAGGTAGAAGATACATTCTACCTGCAATTTCTTCCCTGATTTATTGCTGAAATACATACCACTCATGAACAACTGACCATCGAGTATTAGGTCCTGCTTCTTACAGTTTCAGAGAATGCAAAGTGACAATCCACGCAAGGCTTTCTTTCAAGGAAGGGTTAGGTGTCATTTTAAACATTGAGAGGATGCCATTTATACCAACCACGTGACAGAACTATAGGGTGCAAGCTCGGGTTGGTTATATAGTTCTCAGCGTGCAAGTTCATTATCATTCAAGTTCAGCATGTCCAACATGTCCAACATGGTGAGCACTGTCACCTGCCCTCCAGTCAAGCACCTTGCCCATTTCCTCATTCAATTAGGAATGTCACCTTTCCTTTAATTATCCACATCAGATAAAAAGTAGCTGGAGTTTGCTGTCCTTTTCTTATAATCTATTCTACCACAAAATTCAATCATTTTATCTGATTCTTCCAATTCATTTTCACACCCGGATTTTCTAACAGTGCTTGCTCTCCACTGGTCTCCAGATCACCAATCTCTTGACTGCAGCCCTCAATACTGAATTCACCTTCATCGCCTACCTTCCTTCCTGCTCAGCAGACTCCAGAGGCTCGCAGCATCTCAAGTTAAAGTAGAAACTCTTCACTTGGAAAAAAAATATCTCTTTTATGAAGTCATCCCCTCTAATTCTCAATGATCAACAGGAGTATTTGAACTGCAAGCTGATCTTTGTCTTCTAAACTTGGCAAGCAAGATGTTCTTCCATCCTGGCTATCCACCTCCACCCTCTGATCTAACCAACTCCCAACTTCCAGGTCAAATTCCACGTGAGTTCCAACATGTCCCATGGCCATCTCAGTCAACACAAGACTCTCCTTCCTCTTTAAGCTTACAGAATTTTAGCTCTCAATTTTGCAATCTAATAATATACATTGCACTCAGGATTTTATATGTATAGCTGTTTTAGCTCCAACAAGGAAGTAGGCCCTAGGAAAGTTAGGTGTTAGGATACTCACTTTGAATTCTCCAAGCAATCTGCACATAGCTGTTTAAAGAATCCTTGTTAAATAGATTGTTGACCTCATATATAATTTTATTGACAAGTTGTACCAAATCAACATTTTCCTGTGAAAAAAAATGGCAAGTATTTTGATCCTAACAATCTTAAATAAATTAAATGGGGAAAGGTGGTGGTGGCACACGCCTTTAATCCCAGTACTTGGAGGCAGATCTCTGTGAGTTCAAGGCCAGCCAGGTCTACAGAAATCACTGTTACACAGAGAATCCCTGTCTTGAAAAAGAAAAAATAAAAAAGAAAGTGGGACATAGTAGATTACTTTTCATTCATATCTAGCATCAGAATAAGCTATTTTAATAACACCTAAAGAGGTACTATCTGGATATGAATGTACTTGAAAATTCCATCTAATTTTATGTTTCATCAAAATATTATTAACAGTTTGAGTGCAGAAAAAAATACATAAACCATTTCCACACCAGACATAGTGACACGGGTCTATGTGCCAGCTCCGTGGGGGACTGGAGGCAGAAGGATTCAGTAAGGTAAGTTGTTTGAGACAAACTTAGGCTATAGAGTATTACCATATTTCAGAAAATAAACAAATAAATAAATTTAAGATCAATGCCACCTCTCTAGAAGTGTAGCACTCAGCAGCCTAAAGGGAATGTTATGGCATAAGTCCTCCAACGGGGCCATTGCTCATTGTGAGGATTTTATTTTCTTTGGGGAACGCTACAAAATGAATTTCTAAGAAGTAAGAAATAAAAAGGCACCTAGATAAGTAGAACAATATTCTCCGAGTGATTCTCTATGAAAAGCCAGTAAAATTTTCTCTGTTTCCTCCTGAGTGAATCAGTCATACTGTCGGGTCCAGAAAAGGGGTCTCAGACCCTAGAGAAAGATCAAGACAATTATGTCCATGCTTTCCCCCCGTCACACAAATCCTATCATCTCTTTGCTATCCTCAACCTCTCCTGGTACAGACTCTAAACGTGGTTGCTGAGGTACCAGCTCAAGCAAGATGGCATAAAAATTAGAAAATTTAAAGCCCAAATACAATCCTGCTAACAATGACCAAAAAAAAAAAATCTGATTAAGCCTAAAGAACAACTTATAGCATCCAAGCAAATGTAAAAATAAGATTCATTTCTAATCACCATACGCAGGCTTTATCAGAGACGAAAGCCTAGGCAATTTGTCTTCCAACTACATTCAGTTAGTATCATTTGAATTAAATATAAAAAGGGCAGAGATTACAAAAATGGAAATATAAAACTGCTGACTTTTACTTATCAAAACATACAATCTAGCACTTGTAAAATTTTCAGCACGAATGCTGTTTATCACACCCTATTGCATATTTGCATAAGTGAGAATAACTAACACCTTTATGGACATTACTCAATAACTCTCTCAAAAGCTGCTAAAACATTCCATCTACATGAAAAACAACCTCCATTATTCTATCGCCATTAGATCTCAGTTACTGGGGGAAATTGGTAGATCTATTCCCTGGGCTATAGCTGTAGTCAATTAAAGATTTCCTGGATATTGCTCTGGCAGACTGGGCACATTTACAATAGGTAGGTATCAGGTAGGGAGTGTGGCATACATCAGTGGGCCCATAAAGATAAATAACCCTTGTAACTGTGGAGCTGAGCTCCTCAACTGTAATTTGCCTCATGCATCCTTTGGTTGTATCATTAACCCAGCGAGGACTGGGAGAAAAGCTTGTTGTTGGACTTGAGGAAATGACTTGGGAAACACTCCTGGAATCCAAACTCTTCGATTCAAATTTTAAGCATTCTAATATCCAATGACACAAGCAACAGCCTACACTCCTCAGAGTCTACGTAGTTCTGTGGCTGTGTGAGTAACTATCAGGTTTCCAGTTGGGATGAATTTCATTCTGAAAATATCAAAATCCAAGGAGGAAGTTGAAATGTAACACTGATAAAAACAGCATCTGGTGCTACATCCATACTTTCCAGTTCTGACAGACATGATGAGAAAAATAATCCTCATTACTCGAAGGAAGAACCTGAGAGTACAAGGCACTAAATAGGATCCGACAGCCAGCAACTGCTCAAACCCACTCTTGATTTCTGTTTCTTTAAAACGAGAAGACTAGGAGTTTGTCTCATCAAAAGAATGGCTCTTGCGTAGGTAATCTGTTGTCCAGCCTTTTCACTTGAGAGTTCATTGCGAACAGTTTTTCTTTATTCCGATTTTCTAAACTCACATACGATTGCTGCATATACTTCTATTATTGCAATCTGCAATAAGTGAACGGTTTCTATAGTATTTATGCTGCTTTTGGTAGCAAAGCATCAGCAAAATGAATACCATTTATACAAATATTTTCATTCACCCATTTCAATTTCCTTAGATGGGATCCCTACTAAAAACTAAATAAAACCTACTGAATACTGGCAGTTTCTTTTCCAAATGTATTGATCAATTTATACTCCTGCCAACCACACTCACGGGCACTCCTATGATACACAAATTAGCCCTTTGATGTGCTTTTATTTATTTTTTCTATAATTTGCCCCTTGATTTTATAAAATAACTTTTTAACTTTGGTGGAACTAAGTTCACATTGTCTTCAT